ACAGCTAAAGACTGTACATTACTGTACTGTATATACTGTTTAATAGTCACTATCGAACTTAGAGTACCGTCAAACTGATATTAACTAAACCTATCTTTATCAGTAGGAGTATAAGTGCAACAGATACCTTGTCACCAAAATTAGCACAAGTAAATACCTTAACGCATGTCAGCGCATCTATGTTGATACAATATATTACAATTAGCTTATAAATTCAAGTAATTTAATATACTGTACTGTAAAGGGTTCGAAGGGAAAATATAATTATATAATGAATGTTACCATATATCAGTACATGTAATTTTACCTCCAGCGGTTTTAACATTCCAAGACTGGAATAACACGATCACTTTGTTACCGAAATGGAAAAACATGTGCATCATCATGGTGAAATTGATAATACAGTCAACATAATCAGCTTGATGTAGTTTTCTGCTAGAGACATGAAAGAAATAAGAGATTAGTACGTTGTAAAATTACAAGTGGAATCAATCCATCGAACGCGCAATATTCTCCTCTAGAAGTTGTTTGTTCGTTTACCGTTATGATTACTAATACGTTGGTGTATCAGTCAATCTTGACAGCATCGATCATGGAGATAAGAATAAAGATTAAAGTGAAAACGCTATCATTCACATCATCTAATAATCTGTATAACTTGAGTTCGATGTAAAATGCTTCGTTGTGCCAAACTGTACAGAAATTCTTCTAAGTATTCTACGTCGAAATAGTATAATAACCAAGTCATACAAAATGCATCAATATCAATGGAAGACTTATGTAGAAGAGAACTGTACAGTATAGTAATCTATGTAAAACAACTTGGCATGATTAACGTCTTTAAGATCAGAAATCAATTGGTTCATTTTATCTTATCTATTTACATAATTTAGATTAGCGATTGCTGTGACCGTTCGAAATTTTCCCTCAGGCTCAGCTCACGAGTGATAGGAATGGGATGGGACGGCACAACGGCTTCGGCACCTTTATACTGTAATGGATAGCAATGAGCAAGAGAAGTACGTACTGTACGGTACGGATATAGTACAGTATACAGTACAAAGTACTAGTGTACAATGTACTGTAAAATACAGTCACTAGAGGTCTGCATGGTCTGGTCTGGTCTTGTCTAGTTGAATACTGTGAGAGTGTGAGTCAGTGCGTTTAATCTACAGCATTGGGATTTTCAAAGCCCTTTTAAGTCAAAATATGAATTGTTGGTTGTGATGGAGTTGTGTCTTGAAGAAACTAAATTTCAGATCGGGCTACGCCAAGAACAGTAAATTCCGTCAGGGACTTCTAATAAGGGGAATTTCTTCTTTAAAAAGTCCTAATTCTGTCGTTGCAAATCTTTACTTACTATGATACAGAGCTGACATTGACCAGGCAGACCAGATAGAGTGCATCGTTAATACAGTCAGTGCAGTATATTGATTTACTGTATTTATTGAATCCACACAATACAGTACTGTACATACTGTATCATCGTTTAAGCTAATGTACTTACTATGAGTATCTGAGTAATCGTGGTGATTATGTACCGTGGTGTAATTCATCCAAATTTGCAATGTGGCAATCACACGATTTTCTCTCCTATAATTTTTATTATTAATTTATTTACTTGTACGTGATATGCCCTTTGTCTACAATCTCTTTCCTGAACTTTTAATTAAGACACCGAGTAAAAGTTCAAACAAACAAAAGAATCTAAAATTTCAAAAAATGTCCAGACAATAGAGTTGACAGCACTTCAAATGATTACAATACTGTCGCTAACTGTTATCAATCGACATTACGTCAAGTAAAAAAAAAGGTTACAGGCTTACAGCGCGTATTCCTCGTTAAGTGTACTAAGGCTATTTACAATTGGTGCACTCTACAAGGTAGCTAAGCTGCTCAATCTATAGTACTGCAGCGTATGCTCGGTAGTTTGAAGGATTTTCAAGCTTAAGTTGAAAGCCTTCTTAATAAGCAAATAATAGCCTCAGTTAGCTTTAAATACGCTACAGAGCTTCAAATAAAATTCACTTCTCCCTGAATTGCTTTGAGTTCGTTATCGACTCTACTTTCAAATAAAACACAGACATGTATCGTTTTTTGATTCTTGTCTCTCTCGTTGGTATTGCTATTGCAACTGCACCTAAACCATGCTGTACACCAAAGCAATGGGAAGGTGTTGTTGAAACAGCCGACATGAATGTCGTTGGAAGCGGAAAAACTGCTATGAACTCGACCTTTCGCGTTTTAATGCATATTTCATATGATTACCAAAATAGCAAGATTAGAGTTGATCAGGACATATATCTAACTGGTGGTAAGACAGTCCATCATACAGTCATCGGCGACTATAAGAAAGGAAAGCTCTATTCTATTCTCAACGGCCATTGCCTCTCAGCTTCCATCAAATCACCAATGCCCGAGGCCTGCGTTCCTGAGATCGCTACTTTTTATATGGCAGGTACGCTTGGAGCTACATTAAAGTATAATACCTTCGCTTATTCCAAAAAAGATGGATCCTTGGGAGCGATAATTGATGTATCTGCAACGGGTTGCATTCCAATTGCCGTATTAGCTTTCCAGAAAGCAAAGATGCAGGGTAAAGCTATTACCAAATATAAAGCAGCTTGGTTCAAGAACATTACTGCAGGAATCAAAGACTCCTCAGTTTTCGACAAGCCGAAAGAATGCAAGCCCATTGGAGATTCGGAAAATATCGTTGTTGACTTTGATTACTTGAAGTACTTCCAGTCTCGTCTCTTTACGGTATCTAGAGAAAATAAGATGTACTTACAGGAATCCATTGAAGATCTCTTCCG